TTTCTTTCTTTTGAAGTCTTACCGAACAGAATCTACTGATGAAAGTCATGTTTCCACCCACTAACATCAGCATGTCTCAGCCCTAGTCAGCAATTCTTGTGCTGTGCTTTCCTCAGTGCCTAGCATCTTCAGTCTTGAACATTGTAGGTATTAAGTATTTACCTTTGACATGTATCTGTCTGTTTGTTTATTCATTTATATAACATTTCTTTTTGAGACAGGGTCTGGCTGTGTGTCATAGTTGACCTGGAATTCACTATGTATCCCAGGCTAACATTGAGTTTTTGTTAATCCACCTGCCTCAGCTTTCCAAGTATAGAGATTACATGCTTGATGCAGCATTCCCAGCAAGACAGGAAGCTTTTCCCTCCAATACTGAGGGTTGAAGCCAGGGCCTTGCACATTCTAGGCAAGTGCTTTACCCCTGGACTATGACCCTAGCTCCTGTATTTTATTTAAACCCCAGTCAAGCCTTAGTATGCGGTTCTTCTTTTTTCTCCTAGTTTCTACAAATTTCTAGAAACATCTGTGCATTGTTATTTATGTAATTCCTATTTCAGGATTCTTTTCTGTTTCTGGCCACTTATATAGATATTAAAGTTCTTTAGCCCATATTCAGATAAGTAATACAGTGAAATATCAATTGACTCATAAGGACTTATGAAGTCCTTTCTGTGTCAGATACCTATTTTATCTTGTGTTGATTACTCTGTTTCAACTTCCCCTCTCTAAAATGTAGCAATTGTACTACTTTTCTAATCGCAATAAGATATAAAAGTATATGCATTCTTAAGTCCCTAAAATGTGCCACTCACTCTTCATGGGCTTTCGAGATCTTGTGTGGGTTGTGACTCCTCTGAGAGGCTGATACTCTTTGGCTCATTTTGTAAATTGAATGGCTTTGGTTCAAAGAGAATAAGCTTCTCCTTTCAGACCACAGAGGCCCAGAGCTGGGATTTGAAGTCAAACCTGTGTGACCCTTACACTATTTACTTTGCTTAGATTGTGTAAATAATGTGGTTTCTGTTGAATATTTGGTTTCATTTGTTTTTGTGTTGGAGTTTGAGTTTTGATGTCTGTTAGGCATATGGTGTTTTTGTGACCATCCCATAGTTAAATCCCATAGTTGAAGCTTTTAATGAGTTTCCTAATGGATGACATTTTACAAGTATTGTTAATCTGCTGTTAGAGGGATTGTGCATTTCACATATAACTCCACTGGGAGAGAGAACTGAATACTCACTCCTATTTTCTGTGGGCTTCAGCCTCTGTTCCCTTTTCTTTTGCTGATTTTTCTTGGTATCCTTTCATCTTACTGAATTTAATCATAAGTCTGACTTGAATGTTTTGAGTCCTCTATATGCTTCAAGATCCCACCACACCTGAGGTCTTTAACATAAGTACATATAAATATTTTCTCCCCCTTTAAGAATGACAGTAGAAATGGAATTGAATTATGTAAAGTTTTAGATTTAGTTGGAAGATCTAAAAACGTTTTGATATTGTATGAGAAGGAATTCTTAGTTAGATGGGGGTTTCCGTGTTTTTTGACTTTCTCCTTTGATAGCATTTAAAGAGGGAATAAATGCCAAGAAGTGATATGTTGTAGGGACTGAGACAATTCTATATCTTCTAAATATACAGAGGCTGTCAGAGTAAAAGTTGCCTCTAAGAAATAGCATTCCTGGCTTATTTGTATACTGATGATTGATTCCCACAGAGGTCAGAGAAGAATTCAGGCTACTCATAGGTAAGGTTCAGAATTGTACAGGTAGATTGTTTTGTTGGTGTCCTGCCTTGAATGTCTCAATTTAGCCTATGAAGGAAGAGCTGGGTTGCATGTCAAAAGTGGGTGAAAGATGGTAGAGTATTAAATAAGATAGTTTGGAATGACCATTGTATAAATTGGGTGGTGTTGTGGACAGTTTTCTGGGTGCTGATGGGTAGCTCTTCATTTGTGATTGAATTGGCTGATACACCTGTGTGATCCCCCATTCCCCCGCCCCCCTGAGATTCAGAGTTTGTGGTTGGGGAATAGGAATATCTCAGAGTTTGTGGTAAGGAATAGGAAACTCCCTAGTTCATCCATAGCTGGTGATTTTTTTGATGAACAGTTTAGAAAGAGTTTGAGATGTCAGCAAGAAAATGATTAAAGTTAAAGAATATGGAGGTTAGGAGCCCAGATTTGAAAGCTCACACAAAGGATGTCAGGGGAGAGGTCCTATCCTGGACAATTATCAAGTATAGCAAATGGGAAGGGAGTTGAGGAACTGGGTAGATTGGTAGTTAGCATCTACCCAGGGTCTAGGGGAGTGCAAGTAAGACCTTGCCTTAAAGAGGACAGTTCTATATGAAGATGGAACTATGGGATTGATAACTAGAGATGTATTGGATTTAGGGTCCTTCGAAGACCAGGTGGTTTAGCAAAGGTTGGCAAACAGGGGCCCTGAAATCAGTCTATGTCTAGTGCCTTTCCTTCACATACAGAGTGTGAGATCTTAGACAAGTATTGAAGTAGCAAGTCTTGGTTGTCTGCCACCAAAATGAAACAGCTTGGAGGCCTGACTAAAGAATGCAGACTTGTAGACAGTTCTGTGTCATGGTTCAGCTTTCACTGTTATTGAATGTATTTTGGGGGGTTGGTTGTGAATACCTTCCCAACTAAATTGTCAGTTTCTTTGGTATTTACACTGTATCTAGAAGCCAGGTGTCTGACACAGGGTAGTTGTAATTGTCAAAAGAAGCAAGAAGGAAACATCAAAGTTCACTTTTGTTGTTGTTGTCAAAGGTGGAATCTTGTGGTTGTTGCTCATCTATGACGTTGATTTCTAGAATATTGGTAAAGCTTTTAGAATAAGGGCAAATGGCAAACCACAATCACTGGAGTTTTCTGATCTCAGCTTAGAATTTTCCATGCAAACAAGTGCACAGTTCTCAGTTTACTGTTTGATTTGGGCGGACAAAGGAGTGACTCATGTCTTCCAGGCTGCCTTGAACTTGGCGAACCGAGCAAATGCAAACCTGTTGCTCTGAAAAAGAACCTTGTTTTCAAGGCATGGCTATTTGTTCAAAAAGGAATTTTTGTTATAATGTCAGAAGTTTTCTTTTTTTCACATAATATATCCTGATTATGGTTTCCCTTCTCTCTACTCCTTCCAGTTCCTCCCCAACTTCCCTTCCATCTGGATACTCCCTTTTGTCTCTCTTTGAAAAAACAGGCTGGATAATAAAATAAAATAAAATATAGTGAGATAAAGCAAAAACTAACACATTGGAATTGGATAAAACAAGGAAAAGAGCCCAAGAGAAGGCACAAGAATTAGACACCCACTTGTTTGCACACTCAGGAACTCATAAAAACACTAAACTAGAAACTAACATATACATGAAGGACTTGGTGCAGACTTGTGTAGGCCTGTGCGGGCCCTGTGCATGCTGTCCCAGTTTCTGTGAATTCATAAGACCTTTGCTCATACTGATTTAGAAAGCCTTGTTTTCTTGATGTCCTGTTTATCCTCTGATTCTTACACCCTTTCTGCCTCCTTTTCTGCAGGGTTCCTGAGCCATGAGGGTTGGGATGTGATAGAGACTCACATTTAGTGCTGAGTGTTCCAAGCTCTGTAACCCCACATTATGTCTGGCTGTGTGTCTCTGTATTTGTTTCCATTTGCTTCGAGAAAGAAGCTTCTCTGATGATGGCTGAGCAAGACACTGCACTATGAGTATAGCGGAATGCCATTACAAGTGATTTCACTGCTAAAATTATTTATTTATTTGTTTATTTATTTTAGAACAGTAGTGTTTGGTTTCACTCTAGGTCCCTGGCTTATCTAGTCTCAGGTTCTTGGTTAATCATGCAGTGTCAGACATGGGTTACATCTTTTATAGTGGACCTTAGATCAGATCAGAAATTGGTTGGTTATTCCCACAAGTTTTGTGCCAGTATTGCCCTAGTTTATCTTGCAGGCCAGACTTCATTGTAGATCAAAGGATTTGTGGCTAGATTGGTGTTTAGGTTTCTCTTTTGTTAGCATTCAGAGTATAGTCCTGTACCAAAGATCGAAGCTGGTAGGGGCACCTGATCAACTTTTCCATGATCAATGAATTGTGTAGGTGTTGTGTTCAGCAATAGGGGTCTTGCTGTCAGCTCGTGGAGAGCAACTGATAGTCTTAGCAATAGCCTATGTTGTTTGGTGGTTCCCATGGGACCCCATTGGCCAAACAACTCAATTAGATTAACCCAGTCCCAGTACTGTAAGCTTCATTTTTTGCACTCAATATTTAATTACCCATATATTAAATATGTATTATTCATCATGATTTATTGTAAACTTCCAAATGTAAAAATTATCCACCCTACCCTGTTTGAGAAAAGCTAGATACTTGCTTTGATTAAAGAAATGTCCTGAATAAATTTAAGTTTATTTAAAACTGTGTACTGCAGTAGTTCATAACAGCACGGGAGAACTATTTAGACTTATATTACTATAGCTGGAAATATCTGTGGCCACTTTACAGGGAATCTTTGAAAGGAACTTTTTAACACAGAGTTATCAATATGGTGCTTCTGTCCTCAATGCTTGTGTTATTGTCACTGATTTATTGTTTTAGTATAATAAGTTTCATGTGCTGCCAGAAAGTGAAATGTTGCATAATTGCTTCTAAGAGTTTTCTAATAATCTGACACATTCAAATCACTGACTTTCCTTCAGTTGAACAATGCAGTAGGTAGGTTTGTACTAAAATAACACCTTTTTCTCAGCATTGCCTTCTAATTTTGTGACAATTAGAAAGATATAGTGTGAAAGAGAGGTAGTAGCTTATCTCCACTTAATTTGACTATTAAATGCACAGAAATGAATCATACATTCTGGATTGATTGTGAATGAAATCGGGTGGTTGATGGCTTTTATCTTAGTGACAGGAGAGTCTCTTGGTTTGCATGGTACACCCCAACCTTGATAAGAATTTAACTATATGTTCCATGTGGTTAATTCTAGACTCTAACATTGGACTTGGAGACCAAGGAAAAACATCAGTTGCAGATGTTGGATCAACTTAAGGAGATCCAGAATCACTTTGAGACCTGTGAGGCCAATCGTAAGCGCAGTGACCTCCAGATTGTAGAGCTGAGTCACCACGCAGAGGATGCAACCAAGCAGGCAGAATACTACCTCAGTGAATTCCAGAGGTCAGAAGCCCTGCGAGAGGAGGCAGAGAAGAGGAGAGAGGACCTGAAAGCAAAGGCCCAGGACTCCATCCGCCAGTGGAAGCTGAAGCATAAGAAGCTGGAGCGGGCACTAGAGAAACAAGCAGAAACCCTTGACCAGCTGACAGATAAGAACAACCAGGTATAAGAGACAGGTTCTTACCTCTTTGTTCATCCATCCTTTGAACAAACACCTGAGGACCATGCCGTGTCCGAACCTACCAATGCACCCTCAAACAAAAAGCCATTGAGTATTGTCTAGTTGAAGGCAAAACATTATTTTGTGTTTGCATTTTTCAGATGTTCTAATATATTTTCATATTTGGTGGCTTTTCATAGTTGAGGGCAATTATACCTTCTGTCTCAGTTTAGCTTATGAGTTCCCTAATTTGAATTATTGTTCAATATTCTAATTTTCCAGAGGAAAAGTCACTTAATCTTCCTTAACATTATGGCTCTCCCTCTACAGCATGTGTCTTCCAGTCTTATTTGTTTGAGTATTTTGATTGCAGGCCAGGGTAGAAAGGAGAGTGTTAACATTGTAGTGGTGATGAATGAGTTTTTCTGAGACGTGCTATACTAGGCTGATCTAAATGGGTGATATTGACAGTGGCACTGATAGAATAGTGCCTTCAGGTCACAGGGCTCCTTGTGACTATTTTATGCTCTCCTAACAGCAACACAAAGCCTTGTGCTAATCTTGCTATGTATTCATGGTATCTTGTCTCTTGTACGATCAGTGATTTTAAGTAGAAGTAATGTACCTGGGTTGATTGTCAACTATATCTTTGGTTTGAACTAAACACAGATGTTAAAAAGAATAAAAAGCCAAGATTTTTGTCCATGTTTGGTCTGGGATTACCATATATGCTTTGTCATTTGTCAAGAACTCAGAATAGTCCAGAATAATCATTTGGGTAAGTGTACTGACCCTCTTTGGAAATAGTAACAATAGGACCAGGAAAGGAAAATTCAGGACGGTTATATTTATAGGATCAGTTGACATTACTTTCAATGGCAGATGCTGTTTTTGGGTCAAATGTCATGGCTGTGATGCTTTACCTTTTAGATATGCATCCTTCAGATTTAAGATCTGGGAAGCCTGTGCTCACTGTCGAGTACTTTTTGTTTAACTCATCTGGCACACAGAGAGTGACTGTTTGCCAGGAGGGAAATCAGTCCTAAAGCTTTTGGACTCGAATCTAGATTTATTTGATCCAGAAAATTCCTTTACTTTGATTATACTGTTGTCAGTCCAGACTGGCCACTGGTTCTGTGAATATGCCTATAAGGGAAGGCAGCCAGAGAGCAGAGTTGCGGTTGATTGACTGGGAGCTATCTGCGGGTCTTATTTAATTAGAGGAATTTAGAAGGGTCAATGTCACCAGGCAGTATCCCAATTTATGGTACTGAGCATTTATTAGGTTGAGTTTTCAGAATACTAAAAAGTATTAAACAATCATTTCCCACAATATTCCTGATAAAATTATTTTTTATCAGTGATCATTACTGATGATAAGCAGAGAAGTAGTTTTAAAGTGATTGCTGCAGTTAGGGTAGGATTACAATTATCACAGCAGGCATTGTAATTTATCCTTTAAAAACCTTAAAAATGAATGTAACGTTTCGAGGTTCAAGCAATGATTAATCAGGGGAGAAAGGATTAGAAATGTTTCACTGAGGCTCCAAGTGTCCAGTAAATCTGTGATGTACAAATATGTGGTGAAGAATTTTGGAAAAACCTAAAAGTACCTAGCAGCTACGCTGATGCCTCATGCTTACTGTACAGGTATGAGGACCTGTAACTGGGTCTCGAGAACCCAGGTAAAAGCTAGGTATGGTGGTACACATGTGTGATCCCAGCAATGGGAGAGAGACACAGGTGCATCCAAGGGGCTTCCTGGCCAGTTGGATCAGCCAAAACACCAAGCTCCAAAATCAGTAGAGACCCACTCCTTAAATAAGGTAGAGAGTGATAGAAGATGATATCCTGATGTTGGACTAGGGTCATAGGTCAGTGGTACAGTGCACATTGGGCATATTCAGTGCCCTGGATTCAATTCCCATATATTTAATTTTTAATAAAAATCACAAAGACACCTTAAATCATAATATAGTTTACTTTTTTGTTTTGGGCTAGTTAGTTTCATAAAATAACTTTTGGATATATTTAAAAGTGTATTTTAAGGTAAAAATGATACAAACATAACATGGTTTACAGAATGAATGAATTATTTAATAAATACCTTTGTAGATCCATTTTGTGTGGTCAAATGATAGTTTTTCTTTTCTTTTCTTTTTTCTTGTACTTTTTAAAAATTTAAATTAGAAACAATCTTATTTTATATATCAATCCCAGTTCCCTCTCCCTCCCATCCTCCCATCCCTCTTCTACTCCATAGAAAGGGTGAGACCTTCTATGGGGGATCACCAAAGTCTGTCACATCATTTGGGACAGAGTCTAGGCCCTCCCCCATGTGTCTAGGCTGAGAGAGTAACCCTCTATGGGGAGGGGGTTCCCAATATCTATTGGTACACTAGGGATAAATGCTGTTCCACTACCAGGGGTCCTACAGACTGCCCAGGCCTCCTAACTGTCACCCACGTGCAGGGTCTGGTTCCATCCTATGCTGGTTTCCAAGCTGTCAGTCTGGGGTCCATGAGCTCCCTCTTGTTCAGGTCAGCTGTTTCTGTGTGTTTCCCTAGCATGGTCTTGACCTCTCTGCTCATTACTCCTCCCTCTCTGCAACTGGATTCCAGGAATTCAGCTCAGTGCTTAGCTGTGGGTCTCTGCTTCTGTTTCCATCAGCTAGTGATGAAGGCTCTAGGATGGTATATAAGGTAGCCATCAATCTCATTATAGGGGAAGGGAATTTAAGGTAGCCTTTCCCCTATTGCTTAGATTCTTAGTTGGGGTCATCATTGTATATCTCTGGACATTTTTCTAGTGCCAGATTTCTCTCTAAACCTATAATGGCTCCCTCTATCAAGGTATCTCTTTTCTTGCTGTCCTCTATTCTTCCCCCCCCCCCTACTCAACCTCCCTGTCTCATCATGTCTTCCTCACCCCTTCTCTTCTCCCCTTCTCTTTCTCCTAACTCCCTCTCACCTCCCCCATGCTCCTAATTAGCTCAGGAGAGCTTGTCCCTTTCCCCTTCTCTGGGGGACCATGTATGTCCCTCTTAGGGTCCTCCTTGTTTCCTAGCTTCTCTGGAGGTATGGATTGTAGGCTGGTAATCCTTTGCTCTGGGTCTAATATCCATATATTAGTGACTGCATACTATGTCATTTTGTGACTGAGTTACCATGCTCAGGATGGTTTCTTCCATCCATTGGCCTGTGAATTTCAAGATTCCATTTTTTTTTTCCGCTGAGTAGTACTCCATTGTGTAAATGTACCACATTTTCTCTATCCATTCTTCAGTTGATGGCATCTAGGTTGCTTCCAGGTTCTGGCTATTACAAATAATGCTGCTATGAACATGGTTGAACAGATTTCTTTGTGAATGTACATCCTTTGGGTATATGCCTAAGAGTGGAATTGCTGGAGCTTGAGGTAGACTGATACAGTTTTTCTGTTTGTAAAATGATTCTATGCCTAGGCTGTTTCTCGTTGTAGCAAATTTATATTTTGCTTCAAGATTTGTTACTTAAAAGTGTGTTAAAAGACTAAATGCTTCTTTTCTCTTCAAATCCCCCAATTTCTTCTATTCTTCTTACGTACATTTATGTATGGAATCTTGGTCAACCGACCCAAAAACATTTTACTTACTAAAGGCATGTAATTTCATTCAAAATCATATAATCATAGAAAAATGACATCAAAAAGGAAATAAGGCCAGGACAGTTTTTTCCTTCAGTAAGAGGACATGATCAAGGCCCAGGACATTGATGCACCAGAGTCGTGCACAGATGAACATGTAGGCAGAAAGCAGTACATTGTTCCAGTGATGTGGCTTTGGTGTCTCATTCTCATTCTAAGTGCTGTTGGAAATCATTGGTTTTCAGATGTGCTTTAAAAAGAAATCCGAGTTTGGTCATTGTGTGTGTATTCCTAGTTTTCCTGAAGCTTTCCTATACTGTTGTTAGTGCAGCTAGTATTCCCTGCATTTTTTGTCTTTCTCCTGCTGAGTTGGCAGAATTTTCGGCTTGCTTATGTATTGAGCTTTTTGCTTGATGGTGTTTGACTCTAAGCATCTTCATTTGCCATCTCTTCCATCTGTGAATTCCTCCCCTGCTGAGATGTTATATCCTGTCTTGTGATATCTGAACTGTTTTAATAGTTTAAGGCAAGAAGCTTCATTGCTAATGTGTTCCCCTTTTTGAGCCTATGAGAAGCAGTTCAGGAAAGCACTGGCATTTCCTGCATTGTTTTCAAACGGAGAATAACATTAAAACCTCCCTCATGAACCTCTTAGTAAAATTAAAATGGTGATATGGACATTGGTGTGAGGGCTTACTGGAGTTGTCCTTTTTCTTGCTCCTACCAAAGTTTGGATAATGTCATTCTTGTCATATTATCCTCCCAGTGTGTTTTCACCTTCTTTAGTGGGCTAAATATAATGATTTCCATAAAAAGGTGCTTTTCTTTAATTTCTGGGACTGTGTTTGTTATTATACGAGGTTATTACCTGTTTAACAGAAGACCACAGACTAGGTAGGGATAAACAATAGAATTTTAGTGGGCTCACAGTTCTGGAGCATGGGGAGTCCAAGAATATGTCCTAGAATCCAGAGAAAGCCATTGTGCTGAGTCATAATGTAAATTAATTATTTTTTCTTTGAAGATAAATGATTAAAAAATTTAGGCCTATGGGCCCATTTATGGCTGAGCTGATAAGTAAGTTGAGTTTTCTCAGGTCAAATGTCAACAGCTTGGTCACTCCCCTTTTCTTTCTTTTTTCCTTTTGTTTCTTCCATTTATATGTATATATGCATAGTGTGTTGAATACATTTTCCCTCATAGCCTTCCATCCTCTATTTATTACCCCTCCCTGTTTGTTTTGGTGTCCGTTGTCACTCTTAACAGTTTTACCTCTCCATTTGTACATGTGTAGATGTATGTGATTTTATGTAGCTGTATAAAATCTAGGCAACTGTTTCAAATTGACCTTTCAGATTCTGAGAGGAACCTTAATATTTGTCCTATTGCATCTCATAAATGGATGCAGCATTTTTCTCAGCTAAAAGGAAAAGAAAAAAAAAAACCCAAAAACTGAAACGACAGAATCATAGCAAGGAGGGTGTGTTGAGCATCGGCACTGCTCATGGTCAGTGTGGTAGAAACAGCTTTGTCTCCACGGGCTGCTGCTGTCATTTGAGAATCGGACATCACGATGGTTGGTTCTTGGCCTCTGTCACCCAGTTTATGCTCCGCTCCAGGGGATGTATTTCTCTTGAGTACCTTCCCAAGCCTTCCAGAGCTTATGTCCATCTTTGTGGGTTTCTTCTCAGACATTGACATTATTTGATTAGTTATCACAGGTGACACATCTCATTTATCATAACCTTTATTAGATATTGTCTAGGTTCTCCATTTTATCATTTAACTCTTTTTTTGAGTGTCTCACTGGAGTATACTTTACTGTTATTTTAAGCAATGTTTTAATATTTCAGTATCTAGTAAGTGACAGCAGAGGTTTTGTTTCCGTCAATCCTTTCCTTATTTTTTTCTTACATTTCAGTAATTGTTGATCATTATGGATTAGTACATTTTGACAACAGGTATCTGAAATACATGTTCATACTAGTGTGTTAGTATAATATATGATTTTTTGTAGCTATGTAATGATTATTTGCTTAGCTTGTTTCTAACCTAAAATTATTTTTTATTCAAATAGGAAATATATGATTTAGTGAAATTTTCTTTTCCTTGTGTATTAATTTTTATTTTGTTACTTGGAGGGACCATGGTAAATTTTGCAGTAACCTTTTTTTTCATTTTGTATTGTACCCACTAGATTCTAAAAGAGAAGGACGAATTGAAAAGCCAGCTTTACGCAGCAATACAACAGATAGAGAATCTCAGGAAGGAACTGAATGAAGTCTTGACCAAGCGTGCCCTGCAGGAGGAGGAGCTTCACAGTAAGGAGAAGAAACTCAGTGACATTCAGTCTCACCAAGCTGAACTTGAACAGGAGGTCAAGAATTCCCTGAAAACCATCCATCAACTGGAAAGTGAATTGAAAAGACAGAACAAGATGCAGAGCCAGATCAAAGCCGAGAAAATTCACCTGGAGGAAGAAATTGCAGAGCTAAATACTAGCCAGGCCCAGGACAAAGCCAAACTTCTTGAGATGCAAGAGTCCATCAAGGACTTGAGTGCCATTCGAGCAGATCTTGCTAATAAACTGGCTGAAGAAGAGAAAGCCAAGAAAGCTGTGCTCAAGGACCTGTCTGAATTGATGGCCAAGGCAAAGTCTAAAGAGGAAGAAATGGCTACCATTATCACACAGTTAAAGCTGGAACGAGACGTTCACCAGAGGGAGCTGAATGATCTTACATCATCACTGCAAAGCGTGAAAACAAAGCACGAACAGAATATCCAGGAGCTGATGAAGCACTTTAAAAAAGAAAAGAATGAAGCAGAGAATCACATCAGGACACTGAAGGTACCTGTGCCTCAATTATCTTGATGATACTGACAGTTTTTTTCCGGTGGCTCATGAAGTTAATAAAGCAGAACCTTTCCGAGATCATTCTGTATTCCCAAGCATTGCAGGGAAGATAAAACCAACAATAAAGAGGTTTATTCATGCCTGTTCGGCCAGGTCGAAATGAGTTATAGCAGCCACCTGGGAGCATCTATTTCAGAGCATAGGAGCCCTTTAAAGAGAACATTTAGCTATTTTGGGAGTTCAGGAAAGGTAGAGGTGGCAGTAAGTCCTAGACCTGAGACATGCCCTCATTCAACATTTATGATCTCCTAAAATACAAAAGCAAAGACTTGTCAAGGCCACAGACGCTGTAGCCACAAGTCCTTATTCATACTGTAACTAAAGCTACACAGCCTATAGGTTGTGGGAACCCAAGGCCTCTTTGATTTCCTCTTCCTGTTTTAAATCAATGCTGCCTAAGTAAATTCCTAATTGAGATTTCTTTCATTTGTGGAACTGCTTTTAAAGTCTAATGGCATTGGCATTGTTACCTAGTGGAGAAGTTATTGATACCTCATGGTTGTCAGGTGTGTTAAATTTATCCATCTTCCTACTTTCCTTTTTCTCTGTCATACTTAAATGGTATATTCCATATTCCATATATATATTTTTAATTTCCCTTAGTCAGAGAGAAACTCATGAAAAGTTAGATTTGTTTCAGCTGTGTTTGTTTCAGAGCCTCAGATCATTTTTTATACTTTGCACATATTTAATAGGTGAAGGAATAGATAAATATAAAATATTATATGTTTTATAATATATAATATATAAATTAATTTGAGAAATTGTTAAAGTTTCACAATCACTTTTCTTCAGAAGTTCTTGCAATGCAACTACTACTATAGCAGTCCTTAAGATCCAGAGAATATGTTATTGAGTAGCTAACACAGGTAGAACACTATTTCATGAGTTCCTTCCCAGTTTTGTTTTGCCTTCTGGCAGTAGCCATCTTAGGACCATTAACTGATATGGCAGGTCAGAATGAAGACAGATAGGTAAGGTTTCACTAGTAGTTCTTGACACCACAGTGCATGCTACCAAGAAAAAAAAACCACTGTCTCCTACATGAGGAACCATGATATGCTGTCACATAAGCTAACATCCCAAATGGGAGATGGGAAAATCTAAAAAAGAAATATAATTTACTATTTATTAAATATGTTACAATAGCCTTTTAGAATGATGAGGACATGAATAAAACTAGAAATAGGATTATGAAGAAGAGCTCATATTATATGGTGATTGAGTGGCTACTACAATAATACTGTTAGGAAATATTTTTGAGCACTTCGTGTCAGTTCAGCTATCAGGACTTTATATGAGCTAATAGTTGAATACATCATCCCTGACAATAGCGTACATTGGTTTCTCACTCACAAGGAAATTGACACAGAAGTGTTAAGGCATAATAACATGTCTGGAGTATGGTAAAGGCATGGTTTGAGCCCATGTAGTCAACCACTTGAGTTGTTATTTGGCTCTTCTGGGAAAGATTTAGAATCAAAACCAACTGGATAATAAGTGTGGTGGGTGGGTGAATAATGTCACTATTTGTGAACTTAGAATATGCAGATAGCACAGGAAATCTGGAGAGAAAAATGGCAAATTTACTTTCTTACTCTGTTGACTTAGGTGCAAGTGTCTGACGCTTAATTATGAAAGTCTAGGTATAAAGCACTTGAGTTCATATAGGGTCAGGAGGTGAGGGGAAATTGAAATTAGAATGAAATTAAGTAGGAACCAGGAATTCATGAGTGTTAGGTTCTCTCACAAGATTTAGGACATTATATAAGGAGAAAGAGGAGAGCAAATCTGCAGAATGCCAGCATTTAAAGAAATAACTGAGAAATGTCTAGAAAATAATAAAAGACTATACAAGAGATAGGAGGAGGATCAGGAGAAAATGATATCTTAGAAACCCAGGAGGATATTTCAAGAAAAGTGTGACCAAGGGGCCTGAGAGGTACTTCAACAAATAAAAACACTGGCTGCTCTTCCAAAGGACCTTAGTTCAATTCCCAGAACTACACGGTGGCTTACAACTGTCTATAACTCCTGTTCAAAGAGATCCAATGTCCTCTTCTGGCCTCCATGGTGAATGTGTCTGAAGGATCTGAAATAGTATAAATAATTCTGAAATTGCTTGGAGGGTGGACATGTGAATATTTATGATACTATTATGAAGGGATTAATTCATCATGGGGTCCAGGCATGTCTGTGGTACACAGAAATACTTGCAGGAAGAACACCCCTACACATAAAATAAAATAATATATAATAAAAATAAAATATTTAGTGTCGCATGTGATCAATTAATGGAAATAAAAATGTGTCCCTTCTATTTCACAACAAAGGCCCACGAGGAAATGTAAGGGTCCCGGATTAAGATAGTGTTCTACATTCAACAGTTGACAAAGCATCTCTTTCTCTGCAGGCTTCAGGCTTTGGAAGATACTATTGAGGATGTTCACTGCTAGGGATGCTCTAGAGGAGTTGTTAAACTGGGAAAAGTAGAGTTGAGCAGCAATGGGCCGACACTTGATGGGAAGACTGGTATGGATCAGTGTGGAGGCTTGTGAGTACTGCCATGTAATCAGAGTAGAAGAATAAGCATTTCTGGTAAATGAAAGAGAGAAGCTGGAGCTAAAGGTCCAGTTCTAGAGTGTTTATTTATTTATTTATTTATTTTTTAAATTCAGTTAAAAAGTGTTCGAGGGCAAATTTTTAGAGTTAAGGTCCAAGTAGTCATCCAGTTGGTTTCCATTGTGAATGTGTCTGAAGGATCTGAAGTAGCATAAATAATTCTGAAATTAGCTTGGAGGGTGGACATGTGAATATTTATGATACTATTATGAAGGGATTAATTCATCATATATCAAAAAACCTCCATGAAGAGAGTGGTTGGTCCATGAACTATTGTCACCAAGGACAGAGGTGTGGAGGAGTAGTGTAATCCTCACAGGAAGGCTGGGCTTGCCATGACGGTGATCATGAAATGTTTTGTCAGCTGTACGGGGCAGTGCCTTGACAAATGGTTCTTCTCAAGGAACTCATAGTTTTGAGTGTCATTGAAAATAGAGTGTCCTTCATTCTCATCACTTCTGCTTACCACTGTTAATTAGGCTGTGTGGTGAGCTTCAAGTAACTGATGGAGAACTGGTAATCATTTGTTCAGACCTAGAATTGGTCTAGGATTATCTCTACAGGAACAAAATCCCTCAAACTAAGCTGGGAAAACACATATAAACAATTGGAGGACACGAATAAATCCCTTCAAGAAAGCTAAGATATTTAAGAAAGAAAAAATAAGAGACAAATAGGTGAAGGAAACAAATAAAACTATTCAAGAACTGAAAATGGAAATAGAAGCAATAAAGAAAATAGAAACTGAGGGAATTGTGGAGATGGAAAATCTACATAAGTAAATAAGAATTACAGATGCAAGCCCCATTAACAGACTATAAAAGATGGAAGAGAGAATCTTAGACATAGAAGATATAATAGAAACAATTGATAAATCTGTCAAAGAAAGTGTTAGACCTAAAAAATCCTGAAAATCTGGCACCCTGAAAAACAAACAAACAAACGTAAGAATAATAGGATTAGTAGGAGTACAAGAATTCCAGCTCATAGGCCCAGAAAATATTTTTAATAAAATTAGAGAAGAAAATTTTCCTAACCCAAAGAAGGATATACCTACAAAAAGGTATGGAAAGTTTACAGAACACCAAATAGATTGGAACAGAATAGAGTTAAGCAATACAAAAAATTTTTTATGAAACTAAGAGTTGGTTCTTTGAGAAAAATCAACTAAATCCAAACTAACAAAGATGGAGAGAGAATATCCAAATTAACAAAATCAGAAACAAAAAGGGGACACAATAGACACTGAGGAAATCGAAGCAATCATTAGGACATACTTCAAAAACCTGTACTCCACAAAGTTGGAAAATCTAAAAGAAACTGACATTTTCTTGATAGATACCACTTAGCAAAGTTAAATCAGGATTAGGTAAACAATTTAAAGAGACCTATAATCCTCAAGGAACTAGAAGCAGTCATTAAAAGTCTCCTAACCTAAAAAGGCCAGGGCCAGACAGTTTTAGTCTGACAGAATTCTATCATACTTTCAAAGAAGAGCTAACACAAATCCTCTCAAATTATTCCACAAAATAGAAATAGAAGGAACATTGCCAAATTCATTTTATGAGGCTAAACTCACCCTGATACCCAAACTACACAGAAAATTGGGAAATGATCTACCTCAAGACCCAGCTATACCACTCTTGGGCATGTACCCAAAAGATGCTCCATCCTACCACAAGGACACTTGCTCAACCATGTTCTTTAAAGCTTTATTCATAATAGCCCCAAACTGGAAGATGTCCCTCAACTGAAAAATGGATAAGGAAAATGTGCGTTTACACAATGGAGTATTATACAGATATTAAAAATGACATGAATTTTAATTTACAGGCAAATTGACAGAACTATAAAAGACCATCCTGATTGGGGTAACTCAGACCCAGATAGACAAACATGGTATGTACTCACTTAGAAGTGGACATTAGCTGTTAAGTAAAGGACAATCATGCTACAGTCTACAGACCCAGAGAGACTAAGTAATAAGGAGGACTCAAGGAGGGATGCATGGATCTCCCTGGGAAAGGGAAATAACATAGGTTTTGTGGGTGGACCAGGGGTGGGTAGGGATGCAAACAGGAGTGGTCAGGTGAGGGGTGGGAGAAATGGAGAGAATCCTGGTAGAAAGAACTGGAGTTAGGGGGCTATGCAGAATCCTGGTGTAGTGGAAACCCCCAGGGAATCTACAAGAGTAACCCTAGAGAAGACTCCTAGTAAACGGGGATACAGAGCCTGGGATGGCCATCTTCTATAACCAGACAAAGCTTTTAGCAGGGGGATTGGTACATCAACCCAGCCACAAAACCTTTGACGTACAATCTGTCTTGCCAGTAAGATGTGCTGGGACAATGGTGGTACATAACTTGTGGGAGTGATCAACCCATTATTGGTCCAGCTTGAGGACCAATAATGGTCCTCATTAGAGGGAGCCCATGACTGACACTGCCTGGATGACTAGGAACCAGAAGCCGAAGAGCCCAGAGACCCAGAATAGAAACAAACATGACTGGGAAAAAAAAGTCAGTGAAATGTTTCCTAATGATATTCTGCTATATTCATAGATGGGTGCCTATTCCAATTGCCATCAGAGGGGAATCATCCAGCAAGGGATGGGAGTGGATGCAGAGACCCACAGTCAAACACCAGGTGGAGCTGGGGGAACCAAAGAAGAGGGAGGCATTGCAGGACCCAGAGGGTTCAAGAATACCCAGAGAACAAGACCCACAAAACCAACTAAGCAGGGTTCTTAGGGTTCACAGAAACTGAAGCAACCAACAGGACCTTCTGCGGGTCTGAGCTAGGTCCTCTTTGTACACCTGATGATTGTGTAGCTTGACGTTCTTGTGGGACTCTTAACAGTGTGAGTGGGGGTGTCTCTGACTCTTGCCTGCTCTTGGGACCCTCTTCCTCTTGCTGGGTTGACACATCCAGCAGTGATATGAGGGTTTGTGCCCAGTTTTATTGTAACTTGTTATGCTACGTTTGGCTGATAGCCTGTGAAGTCTGCTCCTCTTCTTTTTCTTGAAGGGAAACAGGAGGAGTTGCTTGGGGGGAGGCTCTGGGAGGACTGTAGGGAGGGGAACTGCCATTGGGATGTAAGGTATGAATGAAGAATAAAAGTTAAGAAAAAACAACATCATTAATACATTTAGATCTTCTGGCATGAGTTACGATTAAGCTGGAAGTATAACTTCCTTGACAGGATATGAGCATATCCCAGTATCCTGTGTTATTGATAAAAAAGACACAGGATATAGTTCTGGTATCCCCTCCTCTCACTTCCCAGTGGGATTGTCTACCTCCTCTTTCCACTCCTAACTTTTCCCCTTCTTCCTTCAGATCCCAACCCAATTTCCTCTCTGAAAACAGGTATTTGAGTTTCATTTCCTGCTCAATAAAGCATTCATTGATTCTTTGCTATCTCTAGCCAGCTTGCCCTCATTTTTTCCCACCTTCCTTGTGTATACTGTTTGCTTTTGTGCTCTCCGCATGCCTCATGAATGGTCTTCCCTCTGCTCTCTATTCGCAGTGGTGTTCTCTCGTCTGTAGCAGGAAAAGTTTTGCTCAGTTCGGAAAATCTGCTGTGATGGCCTGCATCTCCTCTGAGGCCTGGGTTCCATCCTCCAATGTTTTCTGTAGCTGTTGTTGGTTCCTTTAGCACAATACAGTTAGGCAGCCTTGGGTGTTTGTTAGTCTCCAGGCAGACACTCATCACATCACAGCCATCTTTCTATCTCGCAGTACGGCCTAGCTTCAGGTTTCATACAGAGAGCAGTTTGCTCAGGGGATGTTGGATTAAAATGGTTGAAAAGCTGGAAGTCATGGAATTTGTTCCTGTCACCATCCGGGATCATTGTAGTTTGAATTTCACCGTGGAACAAACATGAAAAGATTATTTCCTCACCTTTTATTTAGGAAGTCCTTTGGAATTGTTTATGGTGAGATGATGAGAAACATAAAGAAAAATATCATATTGTACAGTCACTCTGGGTTTTCAGAATCATTTGGACTTTTAATAAGTGGCCCATCCTGATATCTGAGCAGGGTGTTGTGCTGTTCTGTAATGTGGTGCTGCAGGAGCTTGAGAACCAGAGACTGTGAGGGCCCAGCACGTGCCTACTTTAAACCAGATCAGTTACACCGAGGGAACAGTCCTCACCTTGTGTTATTTTGTTAATGGCCCTCTACTTCTGTACCTGCTTATATTTAGTAAAATGAGTTGATAGCAGAGGTTCTCATGGATTGCCTGTCCTGAATGATACACAGGAGAGCTTTGGGCTGCTAGTGCTGTGATGTAAGGTTTATGTGTCCTTCAACTCCATATAATTTACTACTTTTTTGAGAGGCTAATAATTCTTGGCTGCAACACCTATAGCTAGTCTCTGTACACATCACCCCGTCACCATCTAGCCAGCATCCTCAGACCTAGTTTTAAATTTAAAATAACTATAGCACACTCTAGATGATGTTAACATTTTCAGAATATTAGGTTGATACCTCATTTCTATGAAGTCATTTTCTAGAGCCTTCTACTATAACCTGAAGCTGAAGGATATGTTTTTGGGCATTGCTGGCTCTGGGATATTTGTAAAGCAATATCCCTTTTGATGCTTTATCATCAAAATAGGAACAAGAAATGCTTTTATACCACTTGGTTATTGTGAGCACATGACTTTGCAAATCCTCAAATGAAAAGCAGATGTAAAAAAAAAAAGCATCAAACAGGTAAAATATTCAGGAAATTAAGAACTGATACCTTTAAAAATAGGCTCTGTCTGGAGGAAAAGCCTCTAACAGAATTTGGCAAGTTCAGTGGTGTAGATGTCTAGGTCTTCACTACTTTCAAATGAGGCATGACTGGGCAGGGGTGGGGTCGGAGGGAAAAGAGCAGGATTGTCTCCTGAGGGCCTGGGAGCAGACTCTAGGCATCACTTACACCTTCAGGAGAAGTTTCCTATTCACCTGCACTTTTTATAGGATATAAAGTAAAGTAAAAAGCAGTCTTCTGAAACTTAAAATTGTAATTGAGCAATTTTCCTGATGAGAGACTTTATTTTGTAAATTTATTTTGGGGCTGTGAATACAGGATTGCTCATAAAAAAAAATCAATTCCTTTGTTAATTCAAAGTGGCATCAGGTCTTAGCTGAATTTTGTGGAGGAAATAAAATATAGATTTTGTTTAAGACTCTCAAAACTTGTTTCAGGAAGTTGTTTCTAATGATTGTATTCCTACAAACCTAATTAGTCATGGGTACGAGACATAATAATGGGGGAGGCACTGCTGCCGTGTAGCTCAGATAGAGAGAGAGCTTGACTAGTGTGCATGTGTGTTCCATGCATCCCAGTACCAACCTCAAAGGAAGAGCAAGCACATACATGTTGAGTGTTAAAGCATGTATTTTAAACAGATTATATGAAATGGCTTGTCAATTGTTAAGTGACTGGTAGGTGTGTCAAGTTACAGCTGAGGCTTGTGTTCAGGTGTTTTTTTAAAACCTATGGCAGCATTCCTGTTGAGAATTCGGATGTTAGGAAGACATCCTGGGTTCAGGTGCTCTGTCTTCTTCTATTTACAGGATACCTGCATATGTTACTAGTTTCTAACGGCTTGAGTTTCAAAACAGGAGTGAATAGCGCATGATAGCACCTTCCTGCTCAGGGTGTTGAGAAGATAGAGGGGGTAAAACTGTTGCTGAAACTTGAAGTCATGTATGGTGATACCTCCTCCAAATCTTCTTGTTCATGATTGTTTTGCTTCTCCTTGGTCTTTGTGTTTCCATATAAATTTTAAGATTGTGTGTGTGTGTGTGTGTGTGTGTGTGTGTGTGTGTGTGTGTGCCCGCTTGAGGGCCCACATATATGTATCTTTTAAAAGTTGAGTTTGATGACCACCCATAGTGATCCAAAGAAGGATGGCACCAAAGAACGTGTCACACAGGATGGGGAAAAGCTCCAAGGCCTCAGCCACACACAATGAACTGTTACAGGCAATGGAGTAAAGGTGGGGGCAGGAGGGACGGTCCTCCCCAGGGAAGACCATACCAATTACTTGTCCAGTGCCAAACTTTGAGCCCCGAGAACACACACACACACACACACACACACACACACACACACACAAGTAACATTACATGGCCTCATTTAGGAATATATATGTATATACAAGTATATACAAGATTTAGGAATATATATGTATATACAAGTATATACATGCATGCAATAACAGTTAGTGAAAAAAAGGCCATGATTTGGCCAAGAGTGGGGAGTGGTATTTTGGGAGGTTTTGAGAGAGGAACGGGAAGGGAGAAATGTAACTAAATTATAATCTCAAAAAAATGAATGAAAAAAATGTTGAATTTGGTTATACCCAAATAAAGGGAGATCAGAATGGACTTTATTATACTACTGGACATGAACAGCTTATTCTTTTTATGTCCTATGAGAGTATCAATGTTACATTGTATGAGAAGTATGTGAATCTTTCCTAAAATCCAGGAGGAGGAAGAAGGAAGTTAAGCCCCTTTGTCGATGAGGAAACTGGCCAGTGGAAAGCATCATCTTGATGTGTCCCTTTGGGGATCTTCTCTAGTAATGCCATTCTTGCTCACCAGTTAGCCTCCTCTCTTTTTGCCAAAATACCCAGGAAGTACTTCTGTTTCATTGACGCCAACCTGACTGTCTTCTCAGGTGTTTTTTTTACCAGTCATATCTGTCATCTTCAGCACCTTATTGTGGAACCTTTCACTTAGTACATGTTTGAGGTATACTGAATCCATGCAAAGAACGTTTGCTTAGTACTCGATGTCTGTGTATGAACAAGAGCACTAAACTCTTGCGGCGCTTTCCTCGCTGCCACAGTGTGGATTATGTGTGGTGTCATTCAGCTGTAGCCAGTCAGCTTTCTCTTTTTCTCCTTGTCTTTACATCAGGCAGAAAGCCTGGAAGATAAGAACCTGGCTAAAGCCCACAGCTGTCAGCTAGAGGAGCTGAAATCCCAGTGTGAGAAACTGACAGAGGAATTAACCCAGAATGAAAATGAGAACAAAAAACTGAAGCATAAGTACCAGTGTCTGAAGGAGCAACTGGAGGAAAAGGTAAAAGTGGAAAGGAATTCCCATGTAAAGTACTTATTTCTTAAAATGTGCTTTTATTTATGCTACTTAACAAATGGTATTCGAAGTCTTATATTGGTGCAGGAAAAAGATAGTTTATTAGAATGCTCTGATTGTTATTATTTCCACTGACCAGTCACACTCTGGGAATTAAATATGTTTACATTTAGGTCCTCTTTTCCTTTCCCTCCTCCCTTCCTCCCTCCCTGCCTTCCCTTCCCTCCCTCCCCTTCCCTCCCTTCCTCCCTCCCTTCTGTTGTGCTGGGATCCCAGGTGTGTGTGGTTACCAGCTGTGCTTCCCTCTTCCGGCCTGCTTTCTTTGACTTTTCTCTAATACTCCCCATACTTACCAATTGTATCTTTTACTAGAGTGTTGTTGCTGTGGATATGATGCTACATGTTCCCCAATTAAAATATGGTGCGAAATGCCTTATATTTCCTCATCTACATTAAGGAAATGCTGTCACAGGGCCAGAGAGATGGCTCAGTGGTAAAGAGAGTTTGCCGCTCTTTCAGAGGACCGTATTTTGGTTCACATCACCCACATTAGGCTGCTCACAAACTGTCTGTAGTTCCAACTCCAGGAGATCCAACCCCTTCTGACCTCCACAGGCATCCGCCATCACAATGTACATACCTGTAAATAAAACAAATCTTTAAAACTGCCGAAACATGTGGTTAGTTGAAGATGTAAAGTTCACTTTGCTCTACTTAATTTAAATGTATCTTAACCTGCCTTGGTTGGTGATATTCCAGGTATGTGTATATTGTCACAGATTCATAGAAATGGAATATCTACCCTAGAACCAAGTTGGAAGAATTAATGGTTTAGTTGCCTGGTGCCCATGGCAGGAACAGATGAGACACAGGGCTATTACTAACCCTTTCAGTCATGAAAACCATATATACACAGTGTCCTTTATTTTTTCTTGTTTGTTTTGATTTTTTTTTAAATTTTTGGAGCCAGCATGTTTCTGCTTTTGGAGTTTTCAGTTGGATTTATTTATTTATTTATTTATTTATTTATTTTTTGGTGCCTTGGGAATAGGAGCGAAGTCCAAACACAAGAGTCACTCATGACACATACTTCTTATGTGTGGAACCTGAAAGGAATTTTGCGTTTAATTTGACTGTGATTTGGTTGCAAATCATTTCATGAGGTCAGATGTGGAATTTTTTCACTTGTGACATGTTGCTCTGCTCAAAAGCTATGACTTTCTGATTTTTTCAGATTTTGTACTGTAACGATAAATCTTTCCACCATGCCGCCCGAGCCCTGCTGCGCCTGAAATAACACACAGAGTCTTATATTAGGTACAATGCTGCTGGCCAATGACTAAGATTTCTTATTTGCTAGCTCTGTCTTAAGTATCACCCATAACTATTAATCTATATATTTTATAAACTTATCTTATTGAGGACGCTGGCAGAATGCATCCTGTCTTCTTGGCGATCACATGGTGATTCTCCCTCTCCTATATTTCCCAGAATCCTCCTCGACTCCTATTCTCACCTAACCTGCTTCCCTATTGGCCAACAGTACTTTATTTATCAATCAATAAGACAAACATATACACAGAAGAACCTCTCCCATGTTGTACTTTTGGATTCAGAATGTTCAGTCTAGTCAAGTCATGATGGTGTGTTAACAATGCAGAGAAAAGATGGTCCCGGAACTTTAAAGTTAAGAACATATAGGCAATATGTCTTCCTTGGTGTGTGTGTGGGGATTAGATGAACCAGATGGATATATGGCCATATTTGCTGTGGGTAGAGAGGAATCACACCTAGGTTATCTTTTCATACCTAGGATGAGGCACAGAGGTCTGACACATAGTAGGTAAGTTCCAGGCATACGTATGTGCACATACACATAGCAAGGTCAGATGGGAAAACAAAAAAATAGGATAGAACAAACAAACAAGCAAACAAACCTGCTGTGGTGAAGGAAAGGCTAAGGACTAAATATCCTGTAGTTACTGCTTTAGTGGCACTGGGACTTCCTTTGACTATGTTGTCACCAAAAGGGAAGCCTTTACTTAGCAGTGGTATTCTTGCTTGTCCATCTTCAACATTAACAGAAACATGCTGAAACACTCTCTCTTTCTCTCTCTCTCTCTCTCTCTCTCTCACACACACACACACACACACACACACACACACACACACACCTGCATGCACACACATACACTATTTTTTTTTGCAGATTATTTTATTTGAATTAGAAACAAGATTGTTTTACATGATAATCCCAGTTCCCTTCTCCCTCCTGTCCTCCCCTACCGCCAACTCCAACTAAAACCCTACCTATCACATATCCTTTCTGCTCCCCCTGGATGGTGAGGCCTTCCATAGGGTGTCCCCAGAGTCTATCGTATCCTTTGGGATAGGGCCTAGGCCAACCTCCATGTGTCTTTGCTCAGGGAGTATTCTTCTATGTGGAATGGGCTTCCAAAGTCCACACCTATGCTAGGGATAAGTACTGAACTTCTTACAGGAGGTTCTGTAGATTTCCGAGGCTTCCTTACTGAAACCCATGTTCCTGGTGTCTGGATCAGTCCCATGCTGGTATCCCAGCTATCAGTCTGGGAGCAAGAGTTCCCCGATGTTCAGGTTAGCTGTTTCTGTGTTTCACCAGCCTGGTCTGGACCCCTTTGCTTTTCACTTGTCCTTCTCTGCTTCTGAATTCCAGTCCAGTTCAGTGATTAGTTGTGGGTGTCTGCTTCTACTTCCACCAGATGCTGGTTGAGGGCTATCAGGTGCATATAAGTCAGTCATCAATCTCATTATCAGGGGAGGGCATTTAAGGTAGCCTCTCCTCTGTTGCTTGGATTGTTAGCTTGTGTCATCTTGGTAGATCTCTAGACATTTCCCTAGTGCCTGATTTCTCTGTAAACCTAAAATGTCTCCCTCTATTATTGTATCTCCATTCTTGTTATCCTCTATTCTTCGTCTGACTCAACTTTTCTGCTCCCTCACGTCCTCTGCATCCCTCCTCTTCTCCCCTTCTCATTCTTCTAGCGCCCCCCCTCTTCCCATGCTCCCAATTTGCTCAGGGGGTCATGACCCTTTCCCCTTCTCCCCAGGACCAAGTATGTCTCTCTTAGGGTCCTTGTTTACTACCTTCTCTGCCAGTGTGGATTGTAGGGTGGTAATCCTTTACTCTATGTCTAAAATCCACATATGAGTGAGTACATATCCTGTTTGTGTTTTTGTGATTGGGCTACTTTACTCAGAATGGTTTCTTCTAGTTCCATCCATTTTCCTGCAAATTTCCTGCAGATTCCATTGTTTTTTTTTCCCGCTGAGTAGTTCTCCATTGTGTAAATGTACCACATTTTCTCTATCCATTCTTCGATTGAGGGGCATCTAGGCTGCCTCCAGTTTCTGGCTATTACAAATAGTGCTGCTGTGAACATCATTGAAGAGATGTCCTTGCTGTGTGAATGTGCTTCTTTTGGGTATATGCCTAAGAGTGGAATTGCTGGATCTTGTGGTAGACTGATTCCCATTTTCTCGAGGAGTCGCCATACTGATTTCCAAAGTGGCTGTACAAGTTGGCACTCTTTGTAAAGTTTGGAGATCAGCCCTCTGTCAGATGTGGGGTTGGTGAAAACTTTTCCCAATCTGTGGGCTTCCATTTTGTCTTGGTAACTGTGTTCTTAGCCTTACAGAAGCTTCTCAGTTTCAGGAGGTCCTATTTATCAATTGTTGATCTCAGTGTCTGTGCTACTGGTGTAATGTTTAGGAAGCGGTCTCCTGTACCACTTAATTCAAGGGTATTTCCCACTTTGTCTTCTAATAGGTTCAGGGTGGCTGGGTTTATGTTGAGGTCTTTGATCCATTTGGACTTAAGTTTTGTGCATGGCGATAGACATGGATCTGTCTGTAGTCTTCTACATGTCCGCATCCAGTTATGCCAGAACCATTTGTTGAAGATGTTCTCTTTGTTCCATCATATAAATTTGGAATGTTCGTCAAAAATCTGGTGTTCGTAGGTGTGTGTTAATATCAAGGTTTTCAACTCTATTCCATTGGTCTATCTGTCTATTTTTGTGCCAATACCAAGCTGTTTTCAGGATTATAGCTCTGTAATAGAGCTTGAAGTCAGGGATGGCGATGCCTCCAGAAATTCCTCTATTGTACAGGGTTGTTTTGTCTATCCTGGGTCTTTTGTTTTCCCATATAAAGTTGAGAATTGTTCTTTCAAGGTTTGTGAATAATTGTGTTGGGATTTTGATGGGGATTCCATTGAATCTGTAGATTGCTATTGGCAAGATTGGCAATTTTACTATGTTGATCCTACCTATCCAAAAGCATGGGAGATCTTTCTATTTTCTGGTATCTTCTTTAATTTCTTTCTTTAGAGACTCAAAATTCTTATGGTACAGGTCTTTCACGTTTTTGGTTAGTGTTACCCCAAGGTATTTTATGTTGTTTGTGGCTATTGTAAAGGGTGATGTTTCTCTGATTTCTTTCTCCACCAATGTGTCATCTGTATATAGTATGGCTACAGATTTTTTTGAGTTAATCTTGTATCCTGCCACTTTGCTGAAGATGTTTATCAGCTGTAGGAGTTCCCTGGTAGAGTTTTTTGGGTCACTTATGTAGACTATCATATCATCTGCAAATAGTGAGAGTTTGACTTCTCCCAGAGGAATAGAAATCTAATAAAAAGTGGGTTCCAAATCACAAGGAACTATCCACAGGGTCAAGTCCTCATTCACTTTTCGCATGCATGTTTGGTGCCTGGTTTTCTGGCATGCTCCCTCAGATGCAGAGAGAGCTGGCCACACACTTAAAAAATGTGCCAGTGATAAGCTCAGAAAGTAAGTCTTAATTAGCTCCTTGACTTTGTGCTCAGGCATCACCTGGCAGCTTTTCTTGCCTCAGAGGAGGGTCTGGAAGAATGGGTGAGTCATACTGGGGCACACTTTGGCATCACAGCAGGGAACTCCAAGCAGGTGCTTTCTTATGGGCAC